ATGCTTGACGCGCGCGGCGGGGCAGCAACTATGAGTGCCCAAAAGCGTGGGTGTTCGGTGGAGATTGTCCTGGGCGCCAAGTGGGCAAACCTCGACATGGCCTCTCTCGCGCCGACGATGAGAGCCGCCGCTGGGAGTTGATCGGACGTCGAAGTGGCGGCTCAATCGCATTGGTCTCGCGGCGGCCGCGCGCTGAGAGCCCAGCGCCTGGCCCGCCCAGCGCGGGGCGAGGAGGTGGGCGACGTCGCGAGCTGGCGCGCGCTGCGGCGCCCGAAGCAGCGGCGCCTCCAGCGGGGGGGGCGGCGAGGACAATGCGCCACTTGCGCGACCCGCCCAGTCGCCATTCCCCGCGCATCCTGCCGGGCGCCAACCTGCAGCCGAGAGGGGGGGCAGAGCAGCGGCGAGGGTCGACGCGGGCGCGGGCTGATCCCGGCGGGGCGGGCCGGTCAGTCTGGTCGGTTGGGCGCGGCCTCGAGCTGCCCAAGTCGCTCGGCCCAGTGGCGGCTCGGCGAACGGAGCACAAGTTGCGCGACATTGTCTGGCCCGCCCCGTCCGAGCGTGTGAAGGAGCTCGGGCGGGCAGCAGGTGCGCCTCCTGAGGCCATGGATGCAGTGTCTTCCGTGGTGGGCGCTTGCCCGGCGCGCCGACAGCTGCGGCGCGCTGGAGCGCGGCCCACGCCGCAGGCCTTTGCCATCGTGGATTTCACCGCGGAGGTGGATGCGCACCTGATGTCCGGGAGTGCCCGCGCTGTGCTGCGCCTGGTTGATAGGCGCGCCAGCTGGTTGGCGGCTTTCATTTTCTTCGGCTGCATTCCGCAGGACGTCGCGAACGGTGTCGCGCATAATTGGGAAAGACAATCCGGGCTCATGCAGACAATCGCTCCTGATGAGGGGGGCGCGTTGGACTGGCGCGCCGCATCGGCGCGGGCAGACCGGCAGGGCTTGCAGTTAGTTCATCCTGCGACCGCGGGGCCTGCGCGCTCGCGCTGTTGGGCGTCGCGCGGCCATGCTGCGCCACGAAGTGCACGCGGCCGTTTTAGACGTGGAAAAGATGGCCTTGCAGCGGCCTTGCAGGCACGGATCAACGGGCAGGCGTTGGCGAATCATTTCATGCTGCAAATGCATCGGGCGACTCGTGACAATGCTTAATACGGAAGGCCCGCCCGCAGTGCTGACGGGTTCGAGCCAGGTTCGGAGACGCAGCTTTCGGGCGGCAGCGACGGCCTCGCAGGCAGATCGCGTCGCGTCCGTCGGCTCCGAGAGGCAGCCGCGGCCGCCACTGCCCATGGCATTGCTTCAGATCGGCTTCCGAGGTCACTCGACTCACGCGCGAGACTTGCCAGGGAGCTGTTGGAGCTCGAGATCGGCAATGAGGTGGGCACTTCACGCGATCCCATTAATCTGGACCTATGTGAGGGCCCGCGCCGGTGACAGATCTTGCGCGAGCGCGAGAGGTAACTGTCGGAGTGCGATGGTTGAGCCACATCGTGCATGTCAGTTTGCTTGAGATGCGACGATCATTGGACTTTGGGCCTCTCTGACTGAACCGCGCGCGCAGGAGCGCCTGCAGCCTGCCAGCCGAGCGCGCCGTGAAATTCGCGGAAAACACCGAGCGGGGTTCGTTGCGCCCTGGGCGCTCGCCCTCTAGCGCGCGCGGATGGATGCCGAGCAAGGGTGGCCGGCGATTTGCCGGGCCATTGCGAGCAGCCTGCGCCGCGGCATCATGTCATCTGGCGCGGAGGTCGCCGCGTTGAAGCGGCGCCCGGCACGGGGGGGCTTTGGTCGTGTGGCGGCAATGTGGACGACGAGAAGATGGGTGCAATTTCTGGGGTGCCAGACAGCTTCGACGCCGTGTCTGTCCGGGGTCCTAGCCCATCGCCGAGTTTCTCCAGTTCATTCTGGCGACTGAGGAGGAAGCGCTTGCGCGACTGGGAGAAGAAACGTTCGGAGTACGAGGGCCGAGCCACAACGTGGAGGTCCGTTTGCATGAGATGCGACGTTCATTATACGTAGGACTTGTCTGGCCGAACCGCGCGCGCAGGATTGCCGACAGCTGCCGGCCGAGTGCATCTTGAATTTCGCGGATGGCATCCAGCAGGGATCCATGCGTTTTGGATGCGGGTTCCCAGCAAGCGTGGGGGGATGCTGAGCAAGGATAGTCAATTCCCAGGCCAGCGCGAGCAGCCTTTGCCAGTGCATCGTGTCATCTGCACTTGACTGGCTGCGTCGACGTGCGACTTGGACGCGGACTTCGTCGCGCGTCAGCGGCGCCCGGCGCGGAAGGAGTTGTCGTCGTGCGGTGGGGGGCTGGGCGACGAGAAGATTTGTCTCGGATGCAACTTCCGAAGTGCCAGAGAGTTCCGACGCCATGCCTGTCCGGGGGCTTCCAGCCGCCCGACATGAAGTTTGTCCAGTTCCTGCTGGCGGTTGAGGAGGTGGCGCGACAGGCGCGGCGCCATGCGCCAGAAGCTTCTCGCGTGGGTGACGTGGGCGACCATTTCGATCGAGCTGATGGTTATCTCATGCCGCGCTGGAACGGACTCAAGCAAGCTCATTCAGAAGGGCCTGGTGGAAGCGATAATGCAATTCCACGTCTGGCTCGGACACTGGATGGCGAGGGCGGTGGACTCAAGAAAGTCACTCCCGGATCTCATGCCAGCGACAATGTGAGCCCGCGCAATTATCGCCGATTCGCCGAGGGGGGCAGCGACCATTGGGATGTCTCATATGATGAAGATGTCTGGGACTGCGTGGCAGAAGAGTTATGGTGCGTGTTATCTCGAAGTTCTGGGGCCTCTTGATGTGCAGGTGTCTGGAATGCAGCTTCTTGCCAGGCCCTGCCTGGCCGGCAACGGCTGCGATGGCGAGCTCGGCTCTCGCGGAGACGCTCGCGGAGGCAAGCGTCGCCAGCTCGGGCGGGCGCGAAGCTGGATGTCGAGCGTCGCAAACCTGATGGTCAAGATGGCAGATGTCCCATGTCTGGCAAGCCTCGCGTCGACAATGGCGCAATGCCGCCTGGTGTAATGGCTCGCGCGGGCGACGCCGGTGGCGCGCGCGAAGCAGAATGATATTCGAAAAGAGTTGATCCAGAGGCCAGAGGCGAAGCGCGGCGAGCGCGAGCTGGCCACCTGGCCAAGGTACCTTTTGAAGGCGTGGAAGTCCCAGCGCGCGCGCGACCCGGCGACGATGGGGCGCCCGATGGACCGGAACATTTACGCGGGCCAGCTCAGGCCGATCCCTCTCGCGACGCGCGTCGAGCGAGCTGATGATGAAAGTGCGAACAATGAGCAGGTTTCCGTGTGCATGCCTTCGTTGGACGGAGTGGCGTGGGTGGTTCTCGCGAGGGCAGACGTCGTGGTGCGTGTGTGTGTCCAGCGCAACGTGAAGGACGTGACGTTATCCGGCTTGAAGGATCACTCTACAGTGCTGAAGTAGAATGAACGTGTAGCGCCCACCATGCTTTCCAGTTGTCTGACATCGCCATAATGTCTTCTGATTGTGATTTCAGAGAGTTCTTTGCGAGCGGATGACGTGTATTGATTGGTGTTGAGAGTTGCGATCACTGCTGTATGTGAGGGTGGGGGGCCGGCGCCGTCCTGATGCTTCCATGTCTGGGAGTATCTCTTGCGGAAACAGGCGAAGGCGAATCGGGGCACATTCAGGTCGAGCTCCGCAGCGCCATAAAGGCCAATGGCTTCGGAATACTCTTGGGCTGATTCATGACAGAGTGATTGCGAAGCGCTCGAACAGCAGTACCTTTATACCGTGCGAAGGCTGGGCACTGTCGTCTGGCAGGTGGTGTTGCATGCTCATTATGTGTTCAACGCTGCTACCGCGCGCGATATTGCTACCCCGACAGGGCGAAATCTGATATATGAGAACCGAGCGCTACGATAACATTCGGAGTCTTGGCGACTTAGCATGTTACGTCGAGTGCGCACTCGTGACATGCTCTCTGATGCTCTGGCGAAAAGCAGTACGTCTCGAACTGCCATTCTGGAAACTTTTTCTTCGGGCCGCTGGAGGATCACGGTTCGTGAACAGCTGCATACATGGAGGTGTGTGGACCGGCCAGGCACGGCCACGCGGGCTTGATTTTGGCCAGGTGTTCGCCTGTGATCATGAGGAGTGGTGCCAGAGCCGCAGAGCAGAAAATAACATGATCATGCGTCGATTGCATTGCTCGCTTGCCGCCGCCGCTGGCTCGCAGGACGCGTTCAGTACTGTTTGTCTTTATGCACTCTCTGATGCACGTCCCTCGCATGTCATATCCCACATACGATCCTTGGCTGCCGCCATGCGTGTCCTTTTGCCTCCTCGGCCTCCTCCGTGCGTGTCCTTTTGCTTGCGCCTCTTCTCCGTGTCCCGTCAATCTCCGCCGTTCCCCCTCCTTCCGCTTTCATTATCCTCTTCCTCATCATCCGCCCATTTCGTGGGCACCATTTATGTCCATATTCGCTGCTTGTTCGACTTTGCGGGAAATAGCGCCGCAAGGCCGAGGCGCATGTGATATGAATGAACATATAGCCTCTAGGGGTCCAATTTCTGTCCATATTCGCGGCGCCTCGGTTTTCTAGGGAAGGGAACCCGAAATTCCGAAACGCAGTGGATAAGGATACAGTTTTTAACCCGCTCATTTCCTTCCTGACTATCCTTCCTCACCAACTCCCTCGTGCCCCTGCCCTTCCACTCCATGGCGTTGCAAGCAGGCCGCCAGGATTTGTGTCCAAACCTTAAGGGACCAACGATTCATTCGTGGCCGTGTGTAGAGCGTGCAGTTGCTATTCGTGTCGAGCTTGCCTGGCCAAGCGGGGCGAACAGTGTGCAGCGCAGCGGTCGCGCTCAAGAAGAAATCCTTCCTATCCTCCCGTTTCTGATCCTCCTTCTCCACCTCTTCTTCCTCCTCCTCCACCCTTTTTTCCACTCCTCCCCCACCATGCACCTTGCCCTCTCTTTTCATCTCTCTCTCTCTCTCCCTCCTCGTCCTCCCTCTTCACAGAGGAAAGCGCCGGCTCCGCGTACCAGCGCGCCCTTCGGCCGCTGCTCGGCGTCGGCGAGGGCGCGCCCAGCAAGTTCGAGATCCTCGCGCCCGGGCCCACCCTGAAGACGGAGGGGCAGCGACGGTGCGCCAGGCCCTGCTCTCGATGGGTCCGACCCGTTCCGACTCGATCGGGTCCGCTTCGATCCCGGGGCTGAAGCGAGACGCCGTCTTGCTGGACCTCGGCGGTGTGTTTTGTTTGTCGTTCTGGCAGGGAGGGACAGGAAGGAAGGGAGGCAACGCAAAACGAAGAAGGAGTCGTCACCAAAACGAAACACGACGTTTAGGCCTAGCCCTGTGTGATCCGAGCGGCCCGCTGCGTGGCCCGCGCCGCTGCGATGCCGACGCTCCAGCGGTGTCCGCTGAGGGGCCCGGCTCGTCGAGCCCATCCTGGCGCGGCCGATCCGAGATTCGCTCGATGGACGGGCCTGTCTTCCACCGCCACCACAAGTTGGATGGGCGGGGGGTCCTCCTTTTCCTCCTCCTCATCTTCGTCGTCCTCCTCCTCCTCCTCCTCTTCGTCCTCCTCCTCTTCGTCCTCCTCCTCCTCCTCTTCGTCCTCCTCCTCCTCCTCCTCCTCATCTTCGTCCTCCTCCTCCTCCTCGTCCTCCTCCGTAGCCATTTTGGCTCACGAGCCTGCTCGCCCCTGCTCGCGAGGTGGCTGCGGTCATGGCCGATGCGACGGCGTCGGCGCTCCTCAGCGTGGTTGTTCGGGCTGGCGGCTCGCGCCAGGTGGTGGCGGCCACGGCGGTCGCCCTTTGGCGCGCGGCCCGTGCCGAGGCCGGCAACATGCAGGAGGAGGTGAAGGATGTGGACGCCGAGGTGCAGGCGCGCTTGGAGGCCATCCAGCCCGTCCTGCGCGCGAAGGTCATGGCGGCGCACGACGAGTCCCCACCCGCCATCGACGGCGGGGTGAAGGCGCTGAGGAACGTGGCGGAGCACTGCCTGTTCGGGGAGGGCGCGGAGGCGCTGCCCAAGGACGGCAAGGAGGCCAAGCGACGGCAGCGGGGGCGGCGGCGCGGTGCTAAGGACGGCATTGTTGGAGCCGCCTCGCACTCGGAGCTGGAGATCCCTGAGGGCATGAAGCTGATCGGGGTCGTACCGATGGCGGGCGAGGCCGCGGTTCCCGATACCAGCGACGAGAAGGTGGCCGTGAAGGACTTCGACATCCAGGCGGAGGTCGAGGAGAAGAGCCCTGCTGCCCAGCCGCTGACCGTCGACCAGGCCAGAAAGATGGTTCAGGCTGCCGCGCGCAACGAGCTGAAGCTGGAGTCCCAGCTGGCGGCGGCTCAAGCTACGCATCGGGCCGTCTGTGAGATGGTCTTCGACGCGGGCTTCGAGGCGACGCAGATGTGGGACAATGGCGAGGCCGTCACCGCGGTGGAGTCCTCCGAGGAGCTCGGGACGTCGCACGTGAAGACGGCCGAGTTTTGAATGCCGTCCCGCGGCACGTCGGGCGTTGGGGCGCGGAGGCTCGTGTTCCTCCTGCGCCCCCGCGCCGCGGAGGCTCGTGTTCCTCCTGCGGCTCTCGCTGCCCTGGGCGCGGAGGCTCGTGTTCCTCCTGCGCCCAGCGGCAGCCTCGCGCCGCGGAGGCTCGTGTTCCTCCTGCGGCGCCTGGCCCTGGGGGCGCGGAGGCTCGTGTTCCTCCTGCGCCCCCAGGGGCTGCTGTATGAAGCACGTGCGTAATCCAGGACAGCGTCCGCTATCAAAGAGTCAAAAAAGAGTCCTCCTCGTCCTCCTCTTCGTCGTCGTCCTCCTCCTTTTCCTCTTCGTCCTCCTCCTCGTCTTCCTTCTTCCCCCCTCCAGCTGCTGGTGGATATGGAAATCGGGCTCATCATCGGTTCCGGCTCCGCGCCGAAGCGGCCCGATCCGACGAAGATTCCGATCCAAGCCGATTTCCCGAGTTTCTGTTGACTAATCTTGCCCTCCTTCTTGGAGTAAGTCGGGCATGTCCCTCTACAGGAGGAATGTTCAAAAATAGTCAAGAATTACTCATGGGCCGATCTTTTTACTATTTCTGTTTGCTTTTTGAATATTGTTTGACTATTTTCTATCTTCCTTCCACATTCCGCCTGTAGGAGGACATGCCCGACCTAGCTCTTGGAGGGCTGGGATGGGTGCGGAGAGAGTGGGGACGAAAACCGACTGCAGCTTCTGTCCGTTTCGAACAGGACTCGCTGTCGGCGTCGCCGCGGGCGCTGTCCGTTCGGGACAGACAGTCGCCTGCCCAGCAGCGTCCGCTGTCGGTTTTGGACAACAATTTTGCGGTTGGGCATCGTACCCATGTTTCGTACCCATGTTGGCTGCGCCAGTTCCCCTTCTCGTCGTGCTTCGGAGGTTTGCGGAACATGAGGGGGCCACATGCGAACCCTACCCCTACCCCCCACGATTTCTGAGGGGGAGGGTGGGGTTCACGCTCGGGTCCGCTTGGATTTATCGTATCGGCGCTGGATCTACCCTCCCCCTTCCTGGGAAGGCTTATATGGTAATGACTGCTTGTCGTCGTCGTCATCGCCATCGTCATCGTAGGGGGAGGGCGTGTTGGCACGCAGGTGAGCTGCGCGCGCCCGCTGCCTGGGTGGACCCCGTGTGCACGCTTGGCATCGCTCGGACGTGTGCACTGTTCCTTCGGCGAGGACCATCGAGGAGCATCCTTGATCATTTGGCGAACACGAGATCGAAGAAAGCACAGGGCATGGACGTCCGAGCGACGGCCAGCACGGCTCGCCGAGCGCGTTCCACTACTCGCAGAGTGCATACTCGCAAACGTCCTAAAGACCATGCGTCTGCCTCTGTGTAGTATATCGTACAGTCAGGGCGTTGATCTAAGGAGCGATAAATAAGGAACGAAGCCCTTTTTTATCCCAAGGAATAACGCATAAGGAACGATAAATAACAAATAACGCAGAAGAGACTGTAAATAACGCATGCAAACCGAAGGAACGACCGAGCCCCTTTTGAAAAGTAAGTGTTCCTTATTCAAGCCGCTCACTGCAAATCGCCTGCGGCGGATCCAGGCCATTTGCGAGTAGCTACTTTGCGAGTAATGGAGCGCGCTTGCCTAACGGCGCCCGTCGGTTGGAGACTCCCGCTGGCCCTGCTGCCCCCCGTCGAGCATACGGTTGGTAAGCGTATATCAGCAGGCCGACCACGCCCGCGCAGCCCCTGCAGGAACGGGAGAGGCTGCAGGGGGTGCTGCCGGTGGGGCAGCGAGCCATTGGCGACTCGGCCCCTGTCCAGGGCTCATTTCGACTCCTCCGATCGATTCGATTCGATGTCGATGGTTTCCGATTCCGATTCGATTCGACTTGGGATTCCGATTCGGATTCCGACTTCTTATGGGACGCATAGTAGCCTGCCGATTTCCGCCGATCCGACTTTTCCCGACTCGGCTGCCGATTTACGCCGATCCGATTCATTTCGATCGCCGATCCAACTATCGATTCGATTATGGGCTCTCCTGCTGGCGACTCGGCCCCTCTCTCACCTATCCGATGCGCCTGACACGCCAGGTCCATGGCGAGAGGTGAGCTCCGAGGTGGGGGGTTTATCCATAAGCACCGTCTTGGGGAGGCGATCTTCGCCGACCTCCACCGGCGGTGGATGTGGATACATTTCGTCGGGCCTCTGGGGGCCAACATTTATCCACGCCCACCGCCCGCTGGGGCACCAGGACGTCGGTTCCCCGGCAGTGGGTACGGACATACTCCCGCCTCGCTGTGAGCCCCAAAGGTCAGCCCTCGCCCCCCCCCCTCCCCCCCTGTTGGGGGGCGGGCCTGGTGCGCCCTCTCTGCCCCCCTGGCAGAAGATCAGGCAGGCCATCGATGGGCTCTCCGGCGCCTCGCGGCGTCGCGCGATCTGGCGCCAGCGGTGGGAGGACGGCGACTTCGCGCTCGTCGACAACATGGCCCTGGCGAACCTGCCGCGCCCAGTGTATCGAAGGTGCCTGCGGCAAGTCGGCGCCGCCCCCCTCCGCCCGGCAGCGCCCGGGTGACAAGGAGCGTCGGGCCAGGGCTTGGCCAGCCTAGTGGACCACCGTCGTGGAAGCCCTTGGTGGGACTTCGGGAGAGGAAGTGCGAGGGAGACAGAGAGAGAGAGAGAGAGAGAGAGTCAGAGAGAGAGAGAGAGAGAGTCAGAGAGAGAGAGAGAGAAAGAGAGAGTTTGAGAGAGAAAGAGAGAGAACGCGGAAGGAAGGACCTTCCCCCAGCCGTCATGGAAACTTTTGGGAGAACACTTCGGGAGAGAGAGAGAGAGAGAGAGCGAGAAGAGCAAGAGGGGGAGGACAAGGCTGAGAAGGAATCTCTTCAGGCCTCCTGGAGGTGGCCCTCATCAGCGACAGGTGCGAATCGCGCAGCAAGCAACACACAGTATCAGAGAGTATCCTCAGGTATCTGCGGAGTCAATGGAACAAAAACACGTATTTTGACTGGCTTTCCGAATTTCGGGGAAACGTTAGACTCGAGTACGTCGAAATTCTGGGTCACCCTCGCTTTTTGACGAGCGCGGCCCTGGATTTTGACGGTCCAGTTTTCGTGGGATGTTTGCAGCGGGAGCTCACGTCAAATTTCAGACTGGATCTCTAGGGGAACGAAGAATGATATAGACATAGAATTTCGGAGGTCCGCGCGGATTTCTCGGATCGGCGCTGGACCCCCTTCCCTGGCGCGCGGAGCGGCGCCGGAGGTGCCGCCAAGGGGGTCCAGCGTGGATCCGAGAAATCCGCGCGGACCTCCGAGTTTTTATGTGTATGTCATTCTTCGTTCCCCTAATCTCGTGATTTTCATGATGGCCCCGTTTGGCCAACCCGCGCCCCCCGTACCCGAATCCTACGCGTTCCCGAAAAATCGCTGTCCATGGCCTTACTCAGACGAGCCTGCGGCGCCCGGTTGTTCGTCTGGTGGCCTCCGGTGCTCCCCGCCACCGTGCCGGGCTATCGGGCTACCGTCGCGGGGCCCTTTTGGAGAGAACTGCAGGGGAAGGAAGAGAGAGAGAGAGAGAGAAAGAGAGAGTGAGAGAGAGAGAGAGAACAAAAAGAACATAGATTAGAGAGGAAGGATCGAGGCGAGGGATAAGTGGAGGGGGAGGCCGAGGAGGCCTCTTGACGCCTCCTGGGAGTTGGCTCTGGCGAGCTGCAGTTTATCTGCTGCTCAGTTCGTGTCGCGCAGACGCGCCGCCGTCTCCGCCGCGGGCGTTCAAGTTTGAATGCCGCCAGCGGCCCAGCATCGGCAAATATGGAAAAGTCTGGTGATCGAAAATCCGCCGATCGTTCAATGTTGAACGATCCACGCGGTGTCAGAAACCAACGCTGGGGTCGTCGCGACACGAACCTGCCGTAGTTCGGCGACTGCAAAAGTTGTGGTTACACCAAGGTGTGGTTTGCGATCTGCGTCGTTGGGGCTTCGGGGGCGCCACGTTGCCTTCGTCGGGCCGCCTCGGGGCGCAGCGGAGAATATTGTCGAGCTCCTCGCCGTCGTCACCGTCGCCGTCGTCGCCGTCGTCGTCGTCGTCGTCGTCGTCGTCGTTGGGGTTGCCACGGTGGCGGTGGTGGTGGTGGTAATCATCGTCGTCGTCGGCCCCGTCGTCATCGTCTCCGCCGTTGTCGTCGTTATGGCAGAAACCACGACTGAGGGTTTTTCGTTGCTATTGCTTGTCTCTGCCTGCAGGAGACCAGTTCGGGGGTCTCAGGGCCGCCAACAAGACGGCCCGGGATGGAGCAGCCGGGCCCGTGGAAGGGGGGAGATTTCCTGGGGGGCTGCGCTCTGAGGGATTCTTGGCTCAGGAGGGGAAAAACACACACAGACACAATTCATCGTCGACTCCCCAGAAAATATGGGAAAATATGGGAAGTGGGGGGGAGGACAAAAACCAAGAAAATATGCGAAAATATGGGGAATCTGGTTATTCGTGTGTATTTATTTGTGTGTCCCAGGGCCCCTTCATTGACGTCGGGTGCCTGGCCCTCCCAGCTCTCCCTGCCCCCCAACAAGAACAACCAGCACGAAGGCACTTGCTGTTCTCAGCCTTGTCCCCCAGGGATGGCTCGGCATTGGAGCTGTTGCTCCTGTGCCACTTCTGTCGTTGGCGCTTCTGCGGAGCTGCCGCAGAACGCTCGCCTGGAGCACCGACGTTGGACTTCGATGGTTTTGCCGCGATGCGGCAACAAACAAAGCATAAGACTCGGTCTTAAGGGATTTGGGGGGAGAACTTCAGGCTCCCCATAGGAGGTCCGAGTGGATGGGATCGGAGGATCGCGCCGCCTCGCGGATGCATCGCCGATGCATCGCTGGTACATCGGCGACGCTTGCCGTGCATCTGCGTTGTCGGCGTGGAGAATGTCGGGTTCAACTCAGGAGGGACAAAAAACACACAGACACAATGAATCGTCGATTCCCCAGAAAATATTGGAAGATGTGGGAAGTGGGGTGGCAGACAGAAACCCAGAACAGACGGGAAACATATGGGGAATTTGGTTATGCTTGCCTATTTATCTGTGTGCCCCAGGGCCCCTTCAAGAATGTCGGGCTCGACGTCGAGCCGCAGCGCCGCTGCAGCGGCAGCGCGGAGCGAGCTTCCGATGCCAGCTGCTCGGGCCCGATCCCCAGGAGGCCTCCCGAATCGGCGGCGCGCCCGAGGGGGGGAAGCGAGGAGGCGCCGGCCCTCTCACAGGCTCCTCGTTCCCCCTCCTCCTCGCTCCCTTCCTCCTCCTCCTCCTCCTCCTCCTCTTCCTCCTCCTCCTCCTCCTCCTCCTCCTCCCTCCTCCTCCTCCTCCTCTCCTCCTCCTCCCCCCCTCCTCCTCCTCTTGTGGGCGTCCGAGAGAGAGGGCGGGCCTGCTCGGAAGGCTCGGCAAGCCTCGGGCCGCCCGAGGGGTTCCCCGAGCCCTCCCCCGAGGACGCAAAATGGAAGGGGCCCACGGACACGCAAACAAAGGCACACACATATCCCAGGAGGTCCCAAGTAGCATGACGCGCGTGCTAAACAGTACCGCGCTGTGCGCGCGTCGCCAGTCAACCCACCAGCCCACCCCATAAAATACCCATACGGGATTCCTGGCTTGTGCCAGCCAAGCGTTCATAGCGACGTTGCTTTTTGATCCTTCGATGTCGGCTTTTCGAGCCGCCACGCCAAGCTGGCGTAGAAATACGTTATGTACATTGTTAGTTGATGGCCCGGCGCGTTCGAAAGCTTTCTCGAGGAGGAGGAGGAGGAGGAGGAGGAGGAGGAGGAGGAGGAGGAGGAGGAGGAGGAGGAGGAGGAGGAGGAGGAGGGGGAGGGGGGGGGGGGAGGAGGAGGGGAGGCCAGCCGAGCCTCCTGGGCAGGCCGCCCGCTCTCTCGCGGACGTTTGGGGGGGGGGGGGGGCGCGGCTCGGCCCTCGGGCGGCCGTTCGGGGCGAGGCCGGCAGAAAGATAGGAAGGTGCGGGGGGCCCCGCCCGTGTGAAAATGTTCCTGAGGGAAAGACGCACGCGTGCACAATAAATCACGACAGAAACCACGACTGGGGGTTTTTTCGTCGAAGTTGTCGTTGTCGTCGTTGTCGTTGTTGTCGTCGTTCGTTTCTGCCTGCAGGAGGCCAGTCCTGGGGCTCCAGGGCCGCCAACGAGACGGCCCGGGATGGAGCGGCCGGGCCCGTGGAAGGGGGGGGTCCCTGGTGTCTGCGCCGTGGGGGATTCTTGACAGGGGGGAGAAAAGCACGGGCGCAATTCATCGTCGACTCCCGGGGGATCGGGGGAGACGTGGGAAGTGGGGGGGGGGGGGCAAAAAAAAAACAGGACGTATAAGGGCAACGCGGGGGCTCCTGCTGTTAAAAAAAAAACAGGACGTATAAGGGCAACGCGGGGGCTCCTGCTGTTATTTGCGCGCGTTGACTCGCGTGCCCCAGGGCCCCTTCGAATGTTAGAACGCGCGGGGATGCGTGGATTCGGCGACGTTCCTCCGTGCCGCCCTGGGCGCCGCGAGCTGCGGATGCTGCGAGCTCGCGGGGCGGGGGGGGGCGCGCCGCGGGTGCAATGTCGGGGGGGGAGGTCGGTTCGGGGGGCAAGGCCTCGGGTTCATCGGGGGCGGCGAAGACGGGGGTGATGACTGAGGGGGGTGGGGGGATCTCATGGCGGGGGCCGTGGTGTTCCCCAGATTGCATGGCGCCTCTTCTTCTTTCGCTGCGCCCCTGGCCCCCCCCCCCCCCTTGGGCCGCGCGCGTGCCGCCGGCAACGGTTTGCCCCCCCCCTCTTGGACGCCCCCTCTCTGCCGCCCCCGAGTTTAGGGTTGACCCATTGGCTTCGTCGGTTCCCGGCGGCTTTCCAACCCCAGGATGCGTCAGTTGCGCTTCGCCGAAGCTTCTCGCCCAGGGTACCCGGATCGTCCCGAAGGGCTGCCAGAGACTGGAGCGATGTACGCCGGGGGCCAAGAGGCAGCGCTAGAAGGGGGATAGGTTCAGAGGGGAAACATCAACCCCCCATTGCCCATTCGTCGCCAGCGGTGGCCCAATAACCCACCCCGTCCAGGAGAGCGCGCGTCGGAGGTTGATAGACCTCCTACCCTGACGCGTCGATTGGCGAATTGACCGTTTTCGGTTCGCGAGAGGGCGTCGCGGCCGTCATTTTTGCAGGTCCAGGTCCGTCGGTTTCGGTCCCAGGCCGTTTTCACTGCAGGGTGGTTTTTTAAAGGGAGGTTCGTCCACCGCCAAGAACGGACTCAGGAGGGAAAAAACACACAGACACAATTAATCGTCGATCCCCCGGAAAATATGGGAAACTAGTGGAAATGGGGGGGAAGACGAAACCCATAACATATGGGAACATAGGGGGAATCCTGCTATTTCCCCATATCAAAAACATGAATTTCTGTTATTCCCCATATCCAAAGGATTCGGCTCTTGTTATTCCCCATATCCAAAGGGTGTGGTATTTGTTATTTTCCGACCGCGCAGGACCACCCATACCACCTCCTCCCTCCCTGCACTAGACAATGATGATGCTTGTCATGCTGCTGACCATGGTATGGTGAAAGTATGATGTGAATATGATGGTGATGGTGAATGATGGATGCGTATGATGATGATGATGCGGATGCGGATGATGATGATAGTGATGTGATGATGCTGTTGAGGATGATGATGATGATCACGATGGTGATGATGAGGATGACGATGACGATGATGATGATGATGATGATGATGATGATGGTGCCGGTGATGGTGATGATGATGCTGATCATGATGATGATGATTTTGATGATGATGATGATGCTGAAGTTGATGATGATGGTAATGGTGATTATGATGTTGATTGTGGTGGTGATGATGTTGATGATGCTGATGATGATGATGATGATGATGATGATGATGATGATGATGATGATGGTGGTGGTGGTGGTGGTGGTGGTGGAAGTGGTGGTGGTGGTGATGATGGCGATGATGAGCACATGATGCGGATGTCTTGAGCGGCTTGCTGGTTTTAGCATTCCTAAGGGGGGCGCCAGGGGTATCTCACGGCCTCCTTTCGCGCCCGAATGGTGGAAATGGTTTGCCTGTTTTGGTCCCCGCCATCCTCCGTTTCCGGAGCAGATTTTGAGGATGTCTCGTGCGAGACGTTTCCTAATGGGGGGGCTGCCAGGGGTATCTCGCGGTCCCCGTTCGCGCCAAAATGGCGGGGATGTCTCAGGCGGGTTGCTTGTTTTGGTTCCCACCATCCTCCGTTTTCGGAACAGATTCTGGGGATGTCTCGTGCGAGGCGCTCACTCTCGCCCCCCAGACGGGGCCATAGTTTGAGGATGGCTCGATCGGTTTGCTTGTTTTGGTGGCCAGACTCGTGGGCACATATTCTCCCCAGGATGCCACAGGAGGCTCCAGCATGCTTCAGGAGGCCCCGGGAGGCCACATGAGGTCCCAGGAGGCATCAGGAGGCCACAGGAAGATTCAAGAGGCCACATGATGTCCCAAGAGGCTCCAGGAGGCCCCGAGCAATTCTAGGAGGCCTCAGGAAGCCACAGGAGGCCCCAGGAGGCCACAGGAAACGCCAGGTGGCCCAGGCAACAGGAGGCCCCGAGAGGCCCCAGGAGCAGGAGGCTTCAGGAGGCAACAGGAGTGGTTCCAATCCCATGTGTTTTACGTATGTTCCTATAGATTGGGCCTCACCTGGAGCACGAATCCTTGATATTATACGTATGCTTACATATTTGTCCTTCCCTTGTGTACACAGTATTGCGCGTTTTACGCATATTTCTATAGATTGGGCTTCCCCTGGGGCGCGAGTCGTGTTTTACGTGTGCTCCTATAGATTCCCGTGTTCCTGTGGTTCCAATCCGCAATGGTTTATGCACGTTTTTTCCTGCATATCGGGCTTCTCCTGCGGCACGAATCCTTCCCAGGAGGCCCCAGGAGGTCCCAGGAAACTCCAGGATGTTCCAGGAGGCCACGCGAGGCTCCAGGAGGCCTCAGGAGGCCACTCGAGGCCCCAAGAGGCCCGAGGAGGCCCCAAGAGGCCCCTGGCGGCCCCAGGAAGGCCCAGGAGGTTTCTGGAGGCCCCAGGAGGCCCCAGGCTCATGCGCAGAGACGCGCTCGTACTGCCAAGACTCATTCACGCTCCAACCCGTTCGAAGTTTGGATTCATGACCAGACCGTCACAACTCAATCCCGCTTATATTCGAAAACTCTTGCGCCTAGACTCTCACAGCGGACAGGTCCATGCGAATAGATGCGCATATGGGGAATTCCACTCAGTGAGTAGTTCTTCTCCGACCGCGCGGGACCACCCATACCATGATGATGGCCATGACATGGTGAGAGTATGATGTGAGTAGGATGGTGATGGTGAATGGTGTATGAGTAGTTGTATGATGATGATGATGATGATGATGATGATGATGATGATGATGATGATCCTTGATGTTATACGTATGCTTACATAGATTGCCCTTCTCCTGTGTATGCATTCCTAAATGTTTTACGTCTGCTCCTTAAGATTGGGCCTCCCCTGGGGCACGAGTCCTTGGTGGTTTACGTGTGCTCCTATAGACAGGAGGCTATGCGAGGCTCCAGGAGGCCTCGGGAGGCCACTCGAGGCCCCAAGAGGCCCCAGGAGGCCCCAAGAGGCTCCTGGAAGCCCCAGGAAGGCCCAGGAGGTTTCTGGAGGCCCAAGGAGGCCCCAGTCTCATGCGCAGAGACGCGCTCGTACTACCGAGACTCATTCGCGCTCCAATCCATTCGAAATTTGGATTCATGAACAGACCGTCACAACTCAATCCCGCTTATATTCGAAAACTCATGCGCCTAGACTCTCACAGCGGACAGGTCCATGCGAATAGATACACATATGGAGAGTTCCACGCAGTGAATAATCAGTCTCCGACCGCGCGGGACCACCCATACCATGATGATGGCCATGGTATGGTGAGAGTACGATGCGAGTAGGATGGTGATGGTGAATGCTGTATGAGTAGTTGTATGATGATGATGACGATGATGATGGTGATGATGACGATCATGATGATAATGATGATGACGACGCGCAGATGATGATGACGATGAGCAGATGACGATGCTGATGATGATGATGCAGATGATGATGGTGATGATAATGGTGATGATGCTGATGGTGGTGGTGATGATGATGATGAGGATGCTGCTGCTGCTGATGATGATGATGAGGATGATGATGATGAGGATGATGATGATGATGAGGATGAGGATGAGGATGATGATGATGATGATGATGATGATGATGATGATGATGATGATGATGATGATGATGATGATGCTGATGATGATGATGATGATGATGATGATGCTGATGATGATGATGATGATGATGATGATGATGATGATGATGATGATGATGGAGGTGATGATGGAGGTGATGACGGCGATGAGCAGATGATGCGGATGTCTCGAGCGGCTTGCTGGTTTAGCACTCCTAAGGGGGGGCCGCCAGGGGTATCTCACGGCCTCCGTTCGCGCCAAAATGGCGGGGATGGCTCGAGCGGTTTGCCTCGCTTTCGGAGCAGATGTTGAGGATGCCTCGTGCGAGGCGCCTCCCAAGGGGGGGGGGGCGCCAGGGGTATTTCACGGACTCCGTTCGCGCCAAAATGGCGGGGCTGTCTCAGGGGGTTTGCCTGTTTTGGTCCCCAACGTCCTCCGCTTTCGGAGCAGATTTGGAGGATGCCTCGTGCGAGGCGCCCACTTTCGCCCCCCAGGGGGTCCAGATGTCGAGGATGGCTCGACCGGTTTGCTGGTTTGGTGGCCAGACTCGTGGGCACATATTCTCCCCAGGATGCTACAGAAGGCTCCAGCAGGCTTTAGGAGGCCCCAGGAGGCCGCAGGAGGTCCCAGGAGGCATCAGGAGGCCACAGGAAGACTCAAGAGGCCACATGATGTCCCAAGAGGCTCCAGTAGGCCCCAGGAAGCTCCAGGAGGCCTCAGGTTGCCACAGGAGGCCTCAGGAGGCTACAGGAAGTGCCAGGTGGCCCAGGCAACAGGAGGCCCCGAGAGGCCCCAGGAGCAGGAGGCCTCAGAAGGCAACAGGAATGGCTCCACTCCCATGTGTTTTACGTATGCTCCTGTAGATTCGGCCTCACCTGGAGCACGAATCCTTGATGTTATACGTATGTTTACACATATTGCCCTTCTCCTGTGTATGCAATCCTAAATGTTTTTACGTCTGCTCCTTAAGATTGGGCCTCCCCTGGGGCACGAGTCCTTGGTGTTTTACGTGTGCTCCTATAGACTGCCCTTCTCCTGTGGCTCCAATCCGCAATGTCTTATGCACGTCTGTTCCTATATATGGGGCTTCTCCTGGGGCACGAATCCTCCCCAGGAGGTCCCAGGAGGCTCCAGGAGGCTCCAGGAGGCTACGCGAGGCTCCAGGAGGCCTCAGGAGGCCACTCGAGGCCCCAAGAGGCCCCAGGAGGCCCCAAGAGGCTCCTGGAGGCCCCAGGAAGGCCCAGGAGGTTTCTGGAGGCCCCAGGAGGCCCCAGGCTCATGCGCAGAGATACGCTCGTACTACCGAGACTCATTCACGCTCCAATCCGTTCGAAGCTAGATTCATGACCAGACCGTCACAACTCAATCCCGCTTATATTCGGAAACTCTTGCGCCTAGACTCTCACGGCGGACAGGTCCATGCGAATAGATGCACATATGGGGAGCTCCACGCAGTGAGCAATTGTGTGTACAGTGCCGGTTGTAGTACATGTTCCGCGTGCGGATCATTAAACATGCAGGGGTTTAGTATTAAACACAACGATGAGTTCATGCGTACATTTATTCATAAAGTACAGTCATCTATTAAGAACCATCTATGGTTCAAAGTCCTATGCTTTAACAACTGCCCTGTATTTATTTGTGTATCCCATGGCCCCTTCAGATTCGCTTTTCGGGGCCCCGTCGCCGATCTATCGGCGACGTATCGCTCCTAGGCACGGCTCCGCGCAGCCAGGGTGGCCCCCGCAGGGAGGCGCCGGCGGGCAAGGGCGCTGCGAGCCCCGCCTTCCTGCTGCACCGCACGGCGACGGTGGACTTCCCGGAGGTCGAGATACGGAACGCCCGGGGGGCCAAGGCGGTGGTGCTGAAGGTCGGAGGGAGGAGAAGCGATACCAGCATTAAGGCGGGCCTGTCCCTCTACAGGAGGAGTGTTCAACAATAGTCATCGTGTGGTTGCGTTTTTGTTTGCCTATTGTTGGGTAGTATCGAATACTTTTGAGTATTCTTTTATTTTTCGTCCAAAATCCGCCTGAAAGGGGGGCCTGCCCGACCTAATACCAACACCATCAGGGGGCCCGCCTCCAGCGAGGAGGTCCACGATGCCTCCCCGAGCTGGAGGCGGAGGATGTCTCGATCGAGAGGGGGGGGTCACACCACCAGGGAGACCCCCCTTGCCTCCTCTCGCACCCTTTTGCCCTGGCGCTGCTGGTGGTCGCCCCTCCCTGCTTCCGTGTAGGGCGACGGGCGCAGCCTGAGGGACGCGTTCGACGACAGGTCCGAGTACCGCTACGTGCTGTCGGCCATGCTGCGCGTGGCGCCCCTGGACCAGGGCGCGACGGGAGTGGAGGCGCGGTCCAGCCAGGCGGTGCCGCCGAGGGAGGAGGCCGTCCGTGCTCTGCAGGAGGGGGGCTTCCCCCTCGGGCTCCTGGACCAGATTGATCTGCAGGTGCAGGAGCCAGGGGGGTCGGCGCGAGAGAGGGGGGGGCGGGCTCTGGACGCGGGCCTGGCGATTCGCGGTTTCGAGGCCTGCTTTGTTGGGTCCTCGGCGATTTTCGAGGTTCGAGGTTCGATCTTCCAGGTTCGAGATAAGGAGCTCGAGGTTCGAGGTTCAAGATTCGAGGTCCGAGGTTCTCGGACGTTTCCGTCTGTCCTCGGCGGTTTTCCAGGCTCGGGGTGCTCTCCAGCAGCTGCGCCTCGCCGAGGGCGTCATGGTGTGCTCGGATTGTCCCGAACGGCCGCCGGAGACTTCGGTTTTGGTCTCAGAACCAGGGGGCAATAAGGGGTGATGCATCGACACCCAATCGCCCATGGATCGCCGATAGGAGCCCGATAGCTCACCCCGTCCATGAACGTTTGGATTCGCCGTCGGAGGCTTGTCGCCGATCTACTGGCGATGTATCGCCGATTCCCAGTGGATGGCTCCCCCTCTGAGCTGGTTCCCCCTTACTGGTGCCCTCAAGGAGGCTCGCGCGAACGGAGAAGACGCGCTTGCAACGACTTTGAAGAAGTGCATGATTCAGATGCATCCCGATCGAAACCCCGGCCGAGAAGAGGTGGTGCCAATATTCAAGTATCTCCGCCGCCTTCGCGTGGAGCAGAATCTGTTCAAGAGAGGAAGGATGGAGGAGTCCAGCAAGAAGTCGGTGTTGTCGAAGCTGAGAAAGAAGCAGAGACGGGTTTCTGCAGAGCCGTGAAGGGGTCCTTTTTTCGCACGGCGTTGCAGGGCGTAACTGTGAAACCAGGGTGGGCGACACCCTGAGGAGGAGGGTTTGAAGGAGCAAGGCTCACAGATCTTCTGACGCGTGCTTTTTCGCCTTGCCAGTGATTCTCGTTGTCCATTCTGGCAAAGGTCTGCGCAGCGCGGAGAAATACATCTCCCCTCGTCATCCTCCTTCCCTCCAAATCCGCACCCATCCGTCTCTCTGCCTCTCCCCCTCCCTCCTCCCATCGTATCCTCCCTCCCCCCTTCTCCCTCCCCCTTCCCTGTCGGTGCCACTTCGAGATTGCTCACGTACCTTGAGCACTAGTTTTGCGTCTTGTACGTTCTCGTTCGGGCAGTCCAGAGACGAAGCCTGCGAGAAGGAGGAGGAAGGGGAGGAGAATGATGATGATGATGATGATGCTGATGATGATGATGATGATGATGCTGATGATGATGATGATGATGATGATGATGATGATGATGCTGATGATGATGCTGATGATGATGATGCTGATGCTGATGCTGATGCTGATGATGATGATGATGATGATGCTGCTGCTGATGATGATGATGATGATGATGATGATGATGATGGTGGTGGTGGTGGTGGTGGTGGTGATGATGATGATGATGATGATGCTGATGCTGATGATGATGATGATGATGATGATGATGATGATGATGAGGAGGAGGAGGAGGAGGAGGAGGAGGAGGAGGAGCATGGGAAGTGTAGGGGAGGGGGCAGGTGGGGAATGCAGGATGATACAAATATGTAGATGGGATGTTGAATCCATTGTGCTACTCATTTGTTGTGCTGGTTGCTCCTTGCGATGGTACGAAGAAGTCAACTGTCATCAGGTCCCACGATAATTGGCAAGTGCCCTCTGCGTGATGGAGAAGGAGGAGGAGAAGGAGGAGGATGAGGAGGAGGAGTAGATGGTGAAGGACGAGGAGGAGAGGCGCTGCAGAGCACCAGGTAATCAGGTGGGGGAGCCCGGCCAGGATATCGGGCCACGCCGTTGGCGCCGAGGGATTCCCTCTGTCTTGCCTGCAGTGTCTGCCTCTTGATTGCCTGTTGTGGCTGCCTCTGGCTTGCATTCCGCACAGGGCAGTCGGCCATGAGCAGTTGGGGTTGGCACGACCTCTGCCGTCCGTGCATGGTGCCATGGCGCTGTGGACACGCTCCTGCCCAGGCTTCCCAAAGACATGGTGTAGTCAAGACGCTGAAAGAAGCACCGATTTGGATTCCGACGGGACCCGATGTTCCTTGGGTCATTCCGCGATTATTCCTGCAGCCCTCCTGCACCAGGCTCTTTCAGGAGGAGAAAAAACACACAGTCACAATCAATCGGCGATGCCCAGAAAATGTAGTAAAATATGGGAAGTGGGAGGGAAGACAAAACCCAGAAAATATTGGAAAATATGAAGGATATCTTTATTTGTGTGTATTTATTTGTGTGTCCCAGTTCCCCTTCACTCTTCTGGTGCCCCAAAAGGACTTTAAGGGTAGCTCTTTGGGAGATGTTATATGTAAGCGGGAGTATAGCCTGCGCGTCGCTGTCTTATGGCTCAAGGCACGCGCGCCCTATTTGTCCGGATACCTGACTTGGTATTCGCTATGTGTTGGAAAGATCTTTACATCGATCTTCCCCTATCTTACCCATTCACACCCCATCTCGTATTCCTTCGACATGGAATTGGATGCAATCTGACCTACCAGAGCCACCTCAGACTTGGTAGCGGAGCTGGCCGCACTCTCGTGTGGTCAGCTCTTGCTCTTCTTATTCTCACGCTACCGGGCACGATCCTCGTGACCACCCTCTACCCTGCGCCACCACTCCACCTACATTTACGAGGAGCAACACGAGAACAAGAAACAACACGAGAGGCACGACGTCTAGACAACAACACTGGTACCATATACGCTTCATCACTGCGCTAGCACCAACTGCTCGGCAACGAGCCGGATGCGCAGTACCTGAAGCATAGGCGGGGTGACCCGCAAGACAAAGCGCCTCGCAGACTTGACAAGGCGCAACTACACCCGCCCCAGCGCGGCAACGCGCCCGATAACCACCCATCCCTCCACAGCCTGGGTTTGGTTATCTTCGCCATTGTATGGTTTGCGCTGGGAGCGGCAATCGGACACATGCGCCGAGGAGACAACAGCACTGATGGGCAAAGCTTCCCACGCTGGGACCCTCAAGGCAACGTGCCCTTTCGCGAGTACGTCTACGAGGTCAACGCGTGGCTTAACGCCACGAGCGGACGCATGACGCCACAGGCCCAAGCAGCCGCCATACAACGCGGCCTGGGCGGCCTCGCGAGGACACTCGCCATGAGGGTACCACCTGACATCAAACACTATGGTGCGGGCATCGATGGTGTCCACACCGACCCAGTAACATACATCATGTTCCTCCTAAGCATGGAGTTCGAACGCCTGGAGGACGAGCGCCAGCTCACCTCAGGCACTCAGCTCATCGACTTCCACGTGCCTCACGGAGAACGAATCGACGTAACCCTTACTCGGTTCGAAATGGCCCGTCTTGAGGCACAACCGCTGGGCCTTGACCTTCCCAACTTCCAACTACTTACGACTATCCTATTCCGCGCCTCAGGCGTCGGCAACCAGCGAGCCATGCAACTCTTACAACCACTCAACCACCAAATGCCCCGAACACAACAACAGTATGCAGAACTGTGTGAGAGGACGCGCTCGATAGGCCACTTGTCAGAACGGTCTCCTGGTAACATAGGATCAGTGATTGGAAGGGGGAGGGGAACTGGCAGTGGACACTTTTACACTACCTTAACCTCTGAAGCTCAGCCCGGCAACAGGCCCACAAACACTTGGGCCGACGATCCTGGTGAATCTACCGCTCTACTAGCAGGGGATAGATCACAACCTAGCTGGGCAACCAGCCCTCCTCCTAGAGAGCCTCAGCCTCACCGCTCTCTATGGGGAGAAGCGAACCCCCTGAACGACGGCATATCCACCTACCTGGGAGACGATGACTTCGACTCCGGCACCGACGCCGACACGAGATCGCCAGATGGCGTTGAACCGCTAGACTGGTCAGATATCATGCAAATGGAAGGTGATAGTCAGCGTGCCGAGCATCTGTTTTGGTTATTACAGCAGGCAAAACGGAGGTGGAGGAGGTTTACACGAAAACCAGTGCGTCGTGTTAGGAGGGGGATAAGGAGGAGCTTCAAAGGGAAAGGCAAAGGCAAACGGAGTCGCCGAAGGTTGAACGGACGAGGCGTCGCGGCTTTCCTCCAGAGGCTCTCAGATGATCAATGTGATGAGATATTTTTTCGGGGGAAAAGGTCGTGGAAACAGCCGCAGGGAAACCTCGGGCAAAGGCAAAGGTAGGTGCAGGAACCCGCGAGGTTGAGGCGGCCAGATCTTGAAGTGCCATGAGTGTGATAGCACCGATCACATCGTGAAGGATTGTCCAGTGAAGGGGAATGGAAAGGGTAGATCGTCCAAAATCCATTTGGGCTCAGGTGAACCTGCTATTGAGTATCTTAGCCTCCAAGATTTCGAGGCTGTGGAACAGATATTCTTTACTCGGGTCAGCAACATAGGCATGCTGGACGAGATCGAGGCGTGCGGCGACGGGCTCTACGCGTACTACCTCGAGTACCTCCGCAGGTTCAACGTCGGAGCCATCGAGCTCACGCCTGCGGAGAACGGAACGCTGGGAAACCAGCCCCTTTCCTTCCTTGACTGGATGTTCGGCAATCCAGGCAACATCGCGGCCTTCGAGAGCAGCGACGAGGACCTGATGGAGGCCGACGCTGTCGAGGCCACCCCCTCGGAGATCGCTCGTAACCTTCGGCATCGGTCAGACCTCATGCCTGGGAACAGGCCTACTCCAGTGTATCCGCCAAACTATTGTGAGTTAGTGGAACTGGAGTATTAGGCTTTCACCGTGGGCGTGCCAGGCAATCCCCGCGAACCACCTGGCATGCTCGCGCCGTGTGTGTACGGACCCTACACGGCGTTGCAGGCCCTCATGCAGATGCATGCTGCTCAAGCCGAAGAGCACCCAGAAAGTCAACAGAGTGTTGAGAGCGGCCGTCTGTGACGACTCGGACTTGTTGACGGCCGCTTTCTCTCTCATCGGCTGTGTGCTTCCCGAAGATGTGCAGCGGCACTTATGGCATGCAAAGGGGCGCTGGCGCCGAGCGCTCCGGAGGGCCATCGCGAGGCGTGAACCGGCGCCTCCTCCGCCAGGGCGGGGTCTCCAGGCGGCAGGGCAACGCCCCAGCCATGCGGCCATGCGCAACATCATCGGGCAGCCCTCCGATGACTATGCTCAGCTTGAGGCGCGCGCTGTGCGCGGCAACGGGCCTGGTCCGACAGCCCTGCCACCGACGCCGGGACAGCCCAGCGGTGCCACGATGCCACCGCAGCAGGGAAACCTGCTTGCCCCGACGGGGCCGATGACTCCTATCATTGGAAAACCTACTTCAGAAGTTGAAGATGTGGACGGCTGTGGGTTGTGCGAAGACAAGACCACCATCCTCATGATGAACGCCGACGGCGAAGATGAGGAGGTGGACTTCGACGGAAGCGAGACCGAAGCACAACCGCCCGCACAGGACCTCATCATGTCCGACCCTCAACAGCAGGGAGACCTGCCTGCCCCGGATGTGCCACCCATGCCTGCCCAGACAATGCCAGTTCCTGCCCAGGCCATGTCAGCAGCATCGTCCGATGAACAGGCCAGGAGGTCTCGCTCGCATACACGTCCTAGGGGCGACCCACACCCCCAAGCACGGCTCCCACGTGACTGGCGGCAAGCAGCTCCATCAGAGCATGCTGCCCGACGTGGGGGTCAGCTACTAGCCTACAACGATCCCAGGCGCAAAACGGGCGAACACTCTGCCTTCGGACAGGGCAACCCTAACTACAGGGACGCCCAGGGCAAGTCCATACGGGGTGGTTATCAGATCGCTACGAACATTCGACGACCTGAT